ACAGGCGGTAGGTGGGGGCGGAGTTAAAGGGGGGGGGAGCGACAAGGGGACATTTAAGCGTCACAGCTTGCATTTTTATATTCAGATGCAAGGAGATGGATCCCAAGGGGCCCATTAACAAGCTGGTTTTAGCATACGGCTTGACCCTGGAAGCGATAGAATAGAGAAAGTATGAGAAAAGAAGGCAAGAGCGAGACAAGACATTTCGGGCCATTAAGTCATATACGCCTTAACTCAACACCGCCCGACAGGACCTCGTCAGTATGACGGTCGCAGTGCTTAAACTGACCACTGAATGATGCAACTCAGATCACAGCAGATGTTAAACGATAGCAAGTTGCACTGATAACGTGATCAGTATTTTACGATGAAACAAATGCTCATAATGGTAAATAAGTCGTTTTTTTTTTTGCATTTTTGAAATCTGAAATTTATGTTTTTTTGTTTTTGTTGCAGATAAGTTGTGTTGTGTTTTGCTCTGTGACACACTGCAGTGGAATGGCGAGTACACTTCAACGTAAAATTGCTTTGATGGGATATCCATGTGTTGGTTAGTTAAATTTTACAAATTTCTTCCTCGTGCCCACTTCTTTTTTTTGTTGTTTCGCGGTGTTTCCCTAAAATATTTGTATGCCGGGACAAGTTATATTGTTGCATTCACAAAACCGATAATTTACAATAGAACTTGGAGAAATTACCAGCTGCATAATCATTCTGCTTATTTCTGAGGTTGTCACATTCAAGTAACATTCAGTGTAGGCAAATTGGAAGCTTAAAATCAAAAGTGAAATATCTTCTTTAAAGGAAGTGAAGATTTGGAAAAGGCAGGCAAATTTCAAAATAATTGAAGATCTTTGAGAAAAATCGTAATATCTCTAAATGACTCAATAATTTACAGATAATTTTTGAGTTCGGAAATTTCAAGATACTTCAACCTGTGATTTTGAAGGTGATGATTTACTTCCTTTCCAGTTGAAATTAAAGTGATAGTTAAATACCCATTTTGCTGTGGCATTTCAGTTGTGAAGTGTACTGCTTTGCAGGGAAGTCGTCGATTACACTGCGCTTTGTGTATGGCAGTTTTCCTGATGCATATGACACGACGATCGAAGATATTCACTCGAAGCAGCACAAATTCAATGGGCGACAGTTCGCATTACAAATAACCGATACTGCTGGCCAGGTAATTTTTTTAATATAATTGGAAAGAGGGAGGTTATACCTTGAACAAAAGGATTGAGGAGTGAAGGAGGGAATGAAGAATGCATGAATCGGCTGATTTATTGCCTGATTCTCCGACTGTGCAGGTGGTCACTTCTTCCATCATTTTGCATCGGCAGGTGGAAAAGTTGGCGGTTTTAACGTTCAAGTTCTGTCCTGAAGGAATTATCAGATCAGAGGTTCTTCTTTTGGCAAGTGTGTGTCGAACATCACTATTTTGTTCTGTGTATTACATCCCTAAATCATTGTGGATTAAAAAATTCTTTAAAAATTTAAATATCCGTTAAAAGTTAAAGGAATGTTTCAGCAAGAATATTCGTTGTTTCCTCGAAGCTGTGCGATCGATATCGATGGCTACATTTTGGTGTATGCGATCGATGATCGACGATCGTAAGTCGTTGTAGTTTCAAGTGTTCTTCCGCTTTTTTACTCATTTTCATTCTTGGAATAAAAACCTTAATTAGGTATTATTCGAAAGTTGTGATCCCATGCTT